CTCTTTCTCGCTCCTTTCTCTTCTTTCTCTCTTCTCTTTCTTCTCTGCTCTCCTCTCTTCTCCTTTCTATTTCACACACCACTCTCTCTCCATCTCTGTCTCTCTCTCTCTCTCTCTCTCTCTTCTTCTCTCTCTCTCTCTTCTCCTCTCTTCTCCTCTCTCTCTCTCTCTCTCTCTCTCTCTCTCTCTCTCTCTCCTCCTTCTCTTCCTCTTGCTCTCTCTCTCCGACTCTGCTCAATAGTTGAGGATACAAAAATTTATGACTATAGAATATGTATTGCCATACAATATAACAATTGTTGCCTTTTGGAATCCAGCCAATCCGTGAGTTTCCGATTCACCAAGTGAATCCAACACTGGCCTCAACCAAAGGCAATAACTGGATAATATCCTATACATGTACATTTATGTATATATCGAAAATTAATATCTTGCTTACAGAAATCTTTTTAGCACCCATGGTTTTCCTGCAATTATATGTAACTGCTCATAGATATTCATTCACCTTTACCATCATTCAAATTATAAGCACACGTATGAAAAATACTACTGGTCATCAGTGTATTTATACGTTGTTTCCTACCACGAACAGTCAGTCACAAAGCACCAGCAAAAATACGCTGCATCCTAACACTGACCTCGATCATGTGAAATATTCTTCCTACTGCACGTGAGATGATTCCCTGCTCATCCTGTGTTACAGCACTCAAGTCTGCTCCAGTGATAGTATGTGTTTTACCTGAACTCTGCATATGGAAACATTGTGTAGCGTTTCAATATATGCAGATTGAGATACACGACTAGTAAATAAGTTTTTCGAAAAACTAGCTGCACAGAAAATGCTCAGTTAAGATTAAGTATATCGACAAAATGATTTAACAATTTACCGTTTGTCCATATGCAAATACTGTCGCATTGTAGCCTTCAAAGCAGCTTTCCACCAATGGATTAGCACATATTTCATATACTTCATCCTATGGAATATCAGATATTACAGTTATTGACTGCAGTTAGACCTTAATTATTTAGCATATGAGTGTCATTTTCACTAAATGAAATGGTTTCTGTAAATAAAACAATGCATCCAAAATTCAACAAATTGCACTAAGTCTTTCCTATCAAGTCTGTATCAGAACACTAAATGGAAATCACACCACATTGATCAAGGTGTGTGACATGTATTTTCTCAGGCAATGTAAAAACGAAAATTATCAATAACACTGTTAAAACATAATAAATGCATTCAGTTAGAACGGCACAATTATTTCTTTTTCAAACACTACCGAGTGTTTATAATAAACAAAAAGCCATTCTGAATTCGAATACGATCTGACACCTGTGAAGATCCTTCGTCTAACACGTGATCAAAGGTGAAACTTCGGTCCTTGCCAATCACGAGCTGCTTTGATCCCAGGATCGGCCGCACGCAAGATGACAGCTCATGCAGCTTCTCTCTAGCTATTAGTGGTCGGACCTGCTCCGCAGCAGCAGCAGCAGCAATCAGATAGTGAACAAGAGCAATTGGAGATAGCAAACCTCCGCCACAGCATAACAGTCCCCCCTCCCCCATCTTCCTGCTACACCCAATATAGAGTTTGATGAAATTTTAAGAAATTTGAAAAAAAAGATCCATGATTTTCTTATGATGAATTTTGAATGCGTCCGAAGTGTTCCCCATAAAAAATCCTGGATCCAGATCGGGATCGGGATCGGGATCACCACCAAAATCTAATCGATTGGTTGTTGGCACAAGACAAACCCGTCCAACAAAATTCATCAAAATCCTTGAGTAACTTTTTGAGATATCCTGTTGACAGACAAACCAACAAACTAACAGGGGCGAAAACATAACCTCCTTGGCGGAGGTAATTAGCTAATTCTTAGAATGATAAGACTATAAGTCGATACTGCCCATGACCAACGATACAAACAATAGACGTGTGTACTCAATCGCGGCTATTCAAATTGCACATACATAGGAACAAGGTATAAATATTTAGGTTTTTAGAGAAATAATTCAGCAACCAAAACTCTAAACCAGTATAGATAATTCTAGAGTTGTGTTTGCACACACAGGATTATGCCTACTGATGCTGATTTATATGCATGCACAGAAACCAAGCATTTCATAACACATAAATGCTTTAACAAGACCGCATGTCTATCCCGCTTACCCTGACAACTACGCGGACAGGCACTTCCTCAGCCGCCATGTTATCGTGTGACAACAGCTATAGATACTATGTCATAAAATGTTCTTGGTCTGAGGCCAACATAGCAGTCTGGTGACACTGACATGTTGCTACGATGGTCATGAGTACCTGAGAACAAAAACAAATTTGTAACATTGCTATAACACAGATACATGTAATTGTAAGAATTTCAGAAAATTAATGTATTGCCTTAGTAGCCCTTACTCCATGATGCACTTTTTGATAATGACTTTTTCAACATCCATGGACTTGGTACACTGATGCGCTGGAATTTTTTTTAAGAAATCATTACAGCATGACGTTCAGTAGATATAATAATGTAACCCAACAAGAGTAGGGGTTAAAGTAGTAAGGGCAAACCTACTCTTGTTGGGTTACATTATTGTATCTAGAGGTTCAGCAAATACATGTCATGATGTATCACATGTACAACAGTACATATGTGATTATTGTGAATAAATGGTACCCTCTCCCTCGTTCTCATTTCCATTATCGCGATCATGACCATGACTATTGAGTATTGGTCATAAAACTTAGTTTAAAAAATAGAATAATGTAAGCTAGCTCCAAGAAACGGTCATACATCAAGAGTGTGTATATTGACGTTAGTCACACAGCCTGGTCGGGCTAAATGTAAGCTTGATATCGAGACGTTAAACCGGCGTTAATATTGATTGAAATCGACTCAGTGATGCCCGGCACTGATGGCTCATTGGCTGTAACACGGTTAGCTCTAGGACTATAGCCCGCGGCAACTGCACCGTGTATAGTACTGTGAATATAACGGTATCGTAAGAACTGCAGTAGTGAGTACTAATCTAATGTACTATAACATAGGACAGTGATAAGATTAAATGTACAACTCAGGTACACCTAGCTCTAGTAACTATACCATAGCCCGCGTACAGTTGCCGCTGGCAGCCAAGGAGTAAGGTACATCAAACTTTCGCTAAAACTCCGCCACATGTAAACAATACCTCGCGAACATCATCACGTGACAGTCCATAAGATAAAAGATTAGTAGCTAGATTTTGAATTAGGTATTTGAATTTAGCCATATTGCCAAATATAGTTTCACATATATTGTATCGACAGTGTTTTGTATAATTTGTCGCGTTGTTCTCTGAAGTAGCTATAAAGTTCCGCTGTATTTACAAGAACTATAGTAGCGTGGTAGGTAGTTGTTAGACTGACCCCCAGTCCTCAATGCAAACTCCACGACAGATTTTGCTCTCGCTCTGGCTCAATACTACTCAATACTGTATTATCCTGAGTGTGGGAAGGGGGCACTGCATGCAGTTTGTCCTCAATGATGTGATTTAGGCCATTCATGGGTAGCATCAGAGGCAGCATCGAAAACAAACTGTTACTCATAGAGTTTCGTCACATACACAACATACACTTTATTCATCATGCCAAATAGCCACAGATTCAAGGTCTATTCTCTGCTCGAAACTTTTGCCAGCTAAATGATGCGCATTTTCTAGAAAGTAGCCTGATCCTGTTTGAGTGTTTCAAACTCAAAAATGACCGAACAGTCACCATGGCTACGCCAGTAGACGCATTGGCACAGTCACACGACAAGACTATAATCTCACTTCTAATGCATTCTAGACGTCCACGAGGCATTTACCTTGCGTGCATAATGAAAATTATGGCACTCAAAATTCATGTGTGTGTCATCTGTGTGTGCACGTACACGTGCGGGCGTGCGTGCGTGTGTGTGCACGCGTGCGTAAGTGTGTGTGCACGCGTGCGTAAGTGTGTGTGCACGCGTGCGTAAGTGTGTGTGCACGCGTGCGTAAGTGTGTGTGCACG